TCAGTATATAAGTAGAGCCCCCCCCCCCCTCCCCATTTTGGTATCTCTGACCCAGGGACCTTGAAATTCACAATTCTGGAAGAAGAGCCCATCCCATCATAACTATGTAAATAGTTCATTCTGCTTATTACCCAGGAGTAGAGAAAAAGATTTTCATAGATGTAATGTATTTTCACCATATAATCATTATACAGCCACATCCTAACACCATAACCCCTGACCCTGGGGCCATAAAATTCACAAATTTGGTAGAAGCATTCTTGCTCATCATAACTATGTCCTTAATTAGAAAATTTAATACCCAGAAGCAGAGAAGAAGATTTTCAAAGATTTAATGCATTTTCACTATATAATCAATAGAGCCCCGCCCTAACACCAGAACCCCGGACCCTGGGGCCATGAATTTCACAATTTTGGTAGAGGCACTCTTGCTCATCATAACTATGTACTTAGTTAGTTTATTTGATACCTAGTAGCAGAGAATAAGATTTTAAAAGATTTAATGCATTTTCACTATATAATCAATACAGCCCCGCCCTAACACCAGAACCCCTGGCCCTGGGGCCATAAAATTCAAAATTTTGGTAGAGGCACTCTTGCTCATTATAATTATGAACTTAAATAGTTTATTTAATACTCAGGAACAGAGAAGAAGATTTTCAAAGATTTAATGCATTTTCACTATAAAATCAATAGAGCCCTGCCCTAATACCATAACCCCTGACCGGCCATAAAATTCACAATTTTGGTAGAGGCACTCTCGCTCATCATAACTATGAACTTAATTAGTTTATTTAATACCCAGGAGCAGAGAAGAAGATTTTCAAAGAATTAATGCATTTTCACTATATAATCAATAGAGCCCCACCCTAACACCAGAACCCCTGACCCTGGGGCCATGAATTTCACAATTTTGGTAGAGGACTCAATGCTGATTACAATCATACCAACAGTTTGACTGCTTGATGTCTGGGAGTAAAGAAGAAGATTTTTAAAGATTGCACTAATTTTAGTGGTTTTGGCCCCACCCCCCAGGCCCCAGGGAGGCAGGGACCATGAAATTCACAATTTTGTTCCCCTTCACCTATAGATGCTATATGCCAAAATTGGTTGAAATTGGTTCAGTGGTTTCAGAGAAGAAGCTGAAAATGTTTAAATGTTAACGCACGACGCACACCGGACGACGACGGACAAAAGCAGATAGCAATAGGTCACCTGAGTTTACTAGGGTGACCTAAAAAAGGTGCAAAAAAAAAAACCAAAACAATTTAATCACAGTTATCCCAAACGTTTTGAAACAAAAAAATAACTGCGAAATTAGATAGTAAATATTTTCCGTAAAAGTGTTTACTTGTCTGCTTTTCTTATTTTTTTTAGTTCAGTCAGATTCTCTGACTTCAAAAATATTGAATACAATTCAATATTTATAACATGAATTAAACAATACAAAATATCCAATAATTCAATTCAAAATCTGCCCACAAAAAATCGTGAAGAAACAAAAATTATCGTGAACTATTTTACATATTCACTTATTAATAAAAATAAGAAATATTTAATAAATATTCTTGGAAATTTTACATTTTTTTGGCCTGGAAATCGCATATTTTGATCGATATTATCACACCCTCGCGTAAGATGCGCGTGCTTGTTGAAAAGCCACTAGGGTGGATTATTGGTAAATGAAGATGAAGCCGCTTTACGATTTACAGGCCTTTATTTCTCGTCCGGTCGGACAGTATCAGGGACAAGCGCGTCCCGATTCCAACTCTCGAATGTTCGCAAAAATTTGTATTTATAGACATGATTGATAATTGATACTTTTGAGTAACATATGACATGAGTTATTGATTTACAAGTAGAGTTAATATGATTTTAAATAAACAATAATTAAGTCACACAAAGCACAGTCCATCTGGTCATATCACTCATGGCTAATTAAGATAATTAAACATTTCAAAATAGATAAATCTGACAGGTTGAAGCAAATATGACAATTCAAAAAACAGATGTAAGAATTTTAAATTGAAATAAACCAAAGTAATTGTCAAAATGTCCGATGGTAATTTTCATCTGTGACAATATTTCAAAATTTACTTCACTGATAAATTTTATTCATTACCTTAAATAAATACATGTACATTCAACCGATCATCACTTAGTCATAAAAAGTTTGACACCAGAACATATTCTATTGCTGTGCATGTATATATTTTAATACCAAAAATAAAAATTGTTGTGCAAGAAGGTAATACAATTTTAAGTGTTAATTTGCAGTATTTTTTCCAATAATTGAAATTATTTAAATTTACATACATTCAAATAATTTTATTGCAAAGTGGTTCACCTAAAAGTTACAATACAGGTGTAAAAAGGTCAGTAAGATGCACACTGATTCCCCATTTTCTTTGCAATTTTGAGTCATGGTGTATGAATATTTACCTAAATCATACTTTTCAAGATATATTTTTGATATAACTCATATCACGAATGATTAAGTCACTCGTCAGTTTTGAGGAAAACTAAATGCTTAGATTTATTCTTAAGGTATGTTGAACAAGAACCGATGGCGATTCCTAAAGTATCAGTCACATTATCCAGCGATGGGGTATACGATGAGAAACCGATGCGTTTTTTGATGATGCACACTGATTCCCCATTTTCTTTGCGATTTTGAGTCATGGTGTATGAATATTTACCTAAATCATACTTTTCAAGATATATTTTTGATATAACTCATATCACGAATGATTAAGTCACTCGTCAGTTTTGAGGAAAACTAAATGCTTAGATTTATTCCTAAGGTATGTTGAACAAGAACCGATGGCGATTCCTAAAGTATCAGTCACATTATCCAGCGATGGGGTATACGATGAGAAACCGATGCGTTTTTTGATGAAAATGGCGTGGTTGCCGGCCGGGCACCATTAGTCATCGGACGGTGACTGAGGCCATTTTGCGAATCGGTGGGGTCATCGGTAGGAAATAATTCGTAGTTAAAATTCAGCGATGTCTCCAACGATGCCTCACATCGCTCCTCATCGGCAACCCATCATTAACACATCTTACACGGATCGGCCGATGTATGGCCGAGCATCGTCCAATATCTGTTGAATCTGAGGTTATCGGGGGGTTGAGTGGTATTCAACAGATAAACGGCCGATCACCAGTCGATGTTCGACCAAACATTGGCCCATAGTCAACCGATGTTCAAACGATGTTCACCAATGTATTAGCGATGTAATATACATCGGCCGATTATCCTGGAACATCGTTTTATGATTAGCAATGCTTCGCTAGGCCTTTGTAAGTCTGGCCGGCAACCATGCCATTTTTATCATAAAACGCACTGGTTGCCAATCCTTTACCCATCGCTAGATAATGTGACTGATTCTTTAAGGACTACTAGGCCGATGTGGACCGATGTTGGGGCATCGTTAACACCACGGATTACCACCGATTACCATCGGTCTACGGCTACCGGTGTAACGTTGAATTTTGACCCGAGTTGAAAATTGACCCGGGGGTCATTTTTCAACGTTGAATACTGAGACCAGAGGTGTTGAATTTAGACCCTAATCCGTTGAAAACTGAGCCGGGTCGTGGAATTTTGATCATGAAACCGGTTCAAAATTCAACAGCATAAAAACACATATTTATGATTGGGTTTTCACTACTGTGACTTAATTCATAGGTATGAGGCCCCGTTTTGGTATTTACTGGAAAAAGTAATATCCCCTATTTGAATAAGTGATATCACCTGTTCCAATAGATGATATCACCTATTTAATTTGAATTTGTGATATCACCAATTCGAAAAGGTGATATCACTTATTCGAATTGGTGATATCGCCTATTCGATTGGGTGATATCATCTTTTCACGTCGAACAGCTGTAGTTTTTTTTTTTTTTGCTTACAAATTAATTTATTTCACTTATATATCATGTAAACAACAAGAAAATCGTAGAAAACGCATTAAAACTGGGTAGTCCAATTTGTTTTTGGTTCCAGTGGTAATCTATATATTATAGGGATCATTCATTAATGACGGTTGTAAGAAACTCAAATAGGTAATATCACCTTTTCGAATAGGTGATACCACTTATTCAAATAGGTGATAGCACCTATTTAGCATGATATCACCTTTTATTCTAAGCTCTCTGACTTGATCACATGATTAAGTATATAACAGCATAAAGACTTGAGTTACTATTTATAGAATCTGAAATGCATATGGACTTCATGTTTTTTTTCTTGTGATCATATGCTATATTGCAGGAGTCCTTTTAGAAAATTTCATTCAGTGAGTGACATCGGATCCCCCCCCTGCCTGGTTTTCTCATAGAACAAGTGTTTAAATGGAGATAATTTTTTGTAAAAACAGAAATAGTATTGATTTCTCAATTAAAGATAATATAGAATATGAATTGATGTTTCTGAAAAAAAAATTACTACAACTTTTATCAATATTTTTTAATGTCCCGTAATTGATGAGACGTAACAATGCCTTGAAGTCTTTAATTAGGATCTACATGTACTTTATATTAAAACATATTGGATATCTCTGTCAAAAATTGATACGAGACATAATCAAATAATTAAATTAGCATTCTGAATAACTAAATCCTCTATAATTACTCCATAAATGTATAAAACGAAACACATTTATTTAATATTAAACAGCAACAGCTTAATTTATGCTGATCCCTAGTCTCTAAGTCTTGAAGAGAGAAAACTTGTGCCTTATTCCCAAAATTTTCAAATTTTGTTTTGTCAATCTATGTGATAAAATGATTTATATTCGATAATAATGTGACACTTTACATTCCTATTTAATTGAGTTTACAACCAATTCTAGTTTAATTTGTCATATTTCCCAGAATGCAATCATGGCAATTATGGAAAAAGAAAAAAAACATCGTATAGGAGATCATAGAGATAAAATTATGTAATAAGATGAGAAGTTTATCGAATAGGAATCGTATTTTTTCGAATAGAAATGGATGCTAGTATGTTTTCGAACAACAACTTTATTCCATATAAACCAAATAATTATCGAATAACAAAAACTTATCGCATATATAGGAATGACAAAATTAGCGACTAGCAACCAATTGTTTTAAATATTAATGACATCGAATAGGAAACGCGCGTTTTCGAGAAAAGAAAAAATGTGAATCTTATGATATATGAATCATATTGTCACATTTCCTGTAATTGGAATATAGCAATTAATCGAATACAAATTACAAATAATGGAATAGAAATAACAAGTAATCAAATAGGAATCACATTCTTTAGAATAAGAATGTTTTAGAATAAGAATAATCTCATTCTCAAGGTTATGGTCCGAAAGCGATCAAGGTTCTACCGACAAATAAGTTAATTGTTACAGGGATTTCAACAATTTATTTAAAGTCAGCATTACTTACATGCTATGGTCGTTATATTGCTCTTTTCACAAATATAACCTATCATTGGAATCATTTTGGTCGATGTGTTTCATTCTAATGTTTAGGCTATAAATTTTGTTATTTTTATACTGAATTTGACTAGATGGGATATTCCACCCACCTGATCAATATATATAGGGCTACTTTCTAGATTGCAGATTTTTAAGATTTTTGTTTTATGCCCTATTCGTTGTTTTGTAGTTATTTATGGATGCCCTGGATTTTGGAAAGTATTGTCAAAAATAAAGTTGTCATGTTTGAAGATAACTAAAACCGTGCACTGTTCAAAATGTACATGTATACACGGGGTGATACTGTATGTTTATATCTATTATTCTTGAAAAGGGAAAAAATTGAGACCGAAATATAAATAAAGTGATACTGATAAATCCCGTAAAACAACTTCCCAGCTAAATAAAATGTTCTAACTTTGAGGTGGGGTCAATATTCAACAGGGTCAATTTTCAACATGTTGACGTCATCAGGTGTAAGAAAAAAAAAATATCAAGCTGTTGAAAAATGACCCCGGGTATAAATTCAACGACTTTTGGTCTCAATATTCAACGTTGAAAAATGACCCCGGTTCAATATTCAACGTTGAAAAATGACCCCCGGGTCAATTTTCAACTCGGGTCAATATTCAACGTTACACCGGCCGGGAAATGTGACCTAGGCATAACACTTCAAACGGTGCTGTCTTGTTGGCGTTTGATAACTTTATTTTTGTGAATACATGCATCAAATTAAGGAAATAAATTTAAATTAGAGTTAAATTAAAATGTTTTATGAATGAAACTAAATTTAAATTAAAGGAATAAGTTGGGGTTACATGCAATTCTGGAATTTAAAAAATCTTCAATAACTCAATAATTTCAGTTACTTTGAACAACTTTTTAAATTAAACTTTTAGGTCACATCACTGTCGAAAATAATTTCAATTCAAATAGTTGATTCAAGTTAGAAAAAAAAACAGGTATATGAATCATGATCGATATACTAGTAAACTGTTTTATATTTTTATTTATTTTTTTTGCAGCTTACAGTATATGCAACGTCCTTCACTCTAGTATATGTGGAAGAGAGGACTGTCATTGTAGCACACGGAAAGGGAAAAAGACATGTCAGTCTTGTGACGTTTGGTGTGATAGGTGAGTAGTGACCTGGGCTGTTTTCGGCCGTATTTGATGTTGTTTTATCATTTACAGAGCGTGTATCTAATAATATGGGATCTCCCATGATTTGTAGTTGGATATGACTTTTATCCAACGAGTTGTGTGGCTTTTTTCCCCTGATCCTTCGGGCTCGGATAACCAATACCTGAGCAGGCCCCTATAGTCACGGCTAGACCTCATCAAAAGTCAATAATTGTATAAAGTCTTAAACATATCATCTTTCCAAATATGATTGATCGTGCTGAAATATGCATATATTTAAAATTTTCATATTTACTTTTCTTCTTGTGATCGAATTGGCATTAAAATAGTGGGTTTTCTGTAATCAAATGGGAAAAAAAAGAGTGGATTTCCTGTAATCAAATGGGCAAAAAAGAGTGGGTTTCCGGTAATCAAATGGGCGTTAAAAAGAGGGGGGTTATTTTCTTCAAAAAACCTTGTTCCTTGTACTCCTCGTATTTTTGCAGTGTCCCATATATATCCTGGTATATGATTAAACAGGACTTTAAGATCTACAATAATGTTTCCGAATTTTCAATTTCACTCCTTTGGAATTGGTTACATTATTTTTCTACAAAAAATCTCGAATTCCTCTTATATTTTTTGCAGTAGCTAACTCATCTTATGAAATATGATTCGAGGTATCCGAAAGATGTGTCTTCATTTCTTTATTTTCACCTCAGCTACTAAGTTCAATAAAAAAAACCTTTTTTTGTAAAAACAACGTATTCTCTGAACTCATCTGACATTTTTCTTAATTTCCCGTTTATATTTGAACATGAGTGGAAAAGTTTTGAAAGTCAATAAGTATTTAGAGATTCGATTTTTCTCCAAGAGACAATAAGTGGGTCAAAATATGTCATATTTCTACGACATCTGGTCTTCTATTCTTCATGAAACCCTACTCATCGTTTGGAATCTAGTTGTTAAAAAAAGGTGTCCCACTGATGTAATGATTTTTTTTTTTTAATCTGTGAAATGATATTCGAAATTCTCAGTTTCACCCAAATGGCAGACAGACAGACAGACAGACATTATTTCCTCTGCAGCAGAGATCAATGTATCAAACTATTAAGTATGTAACAAGATTTGAGCTCTAGAACAAAAATGTGGAACTATGTACACAAGTTACTGTCCATAATTTAAACACTATGTACATCATTTATCAATTTTTGAAGTTTTATACTTCATGTAAATAAGTGTTCATTTCTGTCATCATACGCGCCACACCAGCTGCAACAGCAAGCATAAACATTTCCCACTCCTCCTCCGATACGATAGAACAACGCCTTGATCCAAGAATGGTTTCAGCGATTATGTCGTCACTATTAATTTTGACGTGATTGAAAGTAATGTGTAATTGGCCAAATTTCCAATTACAGGTAATTGTCATGTACTTAGATACATAATAAATGATATTGAATACTGTTCGTTATCTCCATATCCTTCATTTCGAAATTTGTAATTCACAATTACTTTTCTATTACATTGATGTTCAACAAAATTTGATGAAAAATAGCCCCTCCACTTTTCTTTTCAAAAATCCTTTACACATTATTCAGGAATTCTTAAGTTACGAGGACTATTCAATAAATAATGTCCTCGGTGCTCGGAAAGAAACAAAAAGCACTTGTCAAGAATTTAGCCTTAATGATTTCACTAAATTATTCTCTTTTAATTAAAACGAATGTCCGTAACATTTTAATCCAATTTCTGATTGTTTTTAGAACACATTTTTGAGTATGACCCTTCGTATACTGCAATATCAATAAATTTCTTTGAAAAGGTTTTTTTTTTTCAAGTTTGGAAAATGAAACAAGTCAAATGGTGAAAGATCTGGCAAACATTGTTGGTGTGACTATCTGTTTATCCCCATAACTCCTTTACTCTTCTTGGTGTGTGGATTTGGACGCTTGCATAAAGAAATTTAATGTAGTTGATTCCTGATTCTGATTCCATCCTCTCATAAACCTTTTGATTTCTTTGTAAAAATTTGCTTTCTAGACTTCTTCAAATAAGAATTTGAACAACAAGACTACTAATATTTTAGAAAATGGCATATAAAACTGTTTTTGTGATTTTGCTATTCTTTGCTCTTCTCAGACCTTGGCGTTTTTTGCTGAGTTCATCTTATTTTAAATTTGATTTGAGGGTTTAAAGCAATGGATTTAAGTTTCACTATCTGTTTGAATTTCAGGCAAATGTGGATAACTTCAAGTTTTATTTAAAAAATAATTGTATAGATATTCTTACACTCTGTCGTTTTCACTTATCAAAACATAGGGTAACCATTGAGTACTAAGCTTTTTTACTGACAAATGTTTCTTTTAAATAGTGTAAACTACCCCCAAAATGATGCCTATCAATTTTGCTGTGTGTCATAAAGTCAATCAAACATCATCAGTGATAATTTTATGAATTTTGGCAAACAGTACATTGGTTGTTGTAAGTCTTTGAAGGCAAGGACGGAACTCATTTTTGATGCCCATTAAATCATTTTTGTTCACTGAAATCCACCTGCTCATATATCTATAAAACAGACATTTGATTGCTGTTAACATCACATATTTCAGTGAATATTTCTTTAGGAGTCTTACCAAGTTTTACAGAAGCTTTAATAAAGCTCCTAATTTCACTCTTTTTTTTCGATTCCTTACCATTCATTTGTAATGCAGTGTCTCGAATAGCCCTTGTTTTCTAGCTTTTCACAATGAAACTATGTGATGAAAAGTGGTCACAGAAACTGTATACAATTCATGAAAGATCCAATCATGAGAGAAAATCAAACTGAATGTCATATGACTTCTATATTGTGTGTCATAGAGCCCAGGACATTATTTATTGAGCAGCCCTCGTATCTTCTGGGAAAAGATTTATAATATTTTTTTAAGGAATTTACATCTTTCCTTTTTTTTTTGTTAATTGCTATTTCCTTTTGTGCATTTTCTTCCAAACTTAGGAATCAAATTGATTTCCCTGTTTATAGTGTACAAATTAAATTAATAATTTCAATCAAGTTGTTTGTGAATTGACACTTAATATACCATTTCCAATGGCTTCTAATTCTTTGTTTGCCATATATACAACTTGTTTTAGAAGTGATTAACAGGTACTAATTAGTGCCCTAGGGTCATTTACACATTGACACTGAAATTATATAGAGATTTAACACTCGTTTTGACTTTACCTAGTGGTAGTTTTGTACAAACATTGACTTTGTCTTATAAAGGTAACACTTCTGTACAGTCTGAGATATTTTTTAAATGCTGTGTTGTCTTGTTTAATTGGTGATTTCAGTTTTTATATTTATTTCAACACAAAATTGTGGGAAGACAGTAGTTTCACACACAATATGTCAAATACCAGTTTTTTGAGATACAGCGAATGATGAAAAAGAAGGAAATTTCAATGAAAAAAGCATCCATTGATAAATATATCAGAAAGCTTAAAAATATGTAACAATTAGAAATATGAATTAAGATAAAAACCTAAGTAATTAATTGTTAATTTGCTACAAATCAGTAACATTGCTTGTTGGTTTTTAACAGAGACATAAATAACATAATGTTATTTATGTCTCTGTTTTTAATAATAAAATTGCGTCTTTTGAAAAAAGTGATTTTATCCCATGTTAACCCCTTTATCCCGTGGATATAGCTCATGTGAGATCGTTTTCGTACCGGTACCCCCCACAGTTGTTACGTCACAATGGGTTTTGCGTTAGCGTAATGAAGTAAAACAAAGTGTTGTCTTATATAAAAACAGTGTAAACATTGATAGTGGTGTATTTAAAACATGGGATAAAAAATCTCGCTTGATCTGTGGTTGGATATGATTTTCACCCAACTCATTGAGTGTTTTATCCCGTCGCCAAGGCTCAGGGATTAAAAACACACACACAACTCGTTGGATAAAAATCATATCCAACTACAAATCATGTGAGATCCTAGATTTCTGTGAAAATAAATCTGAAAATCAGGAAAACTAAACATTTTATTTGATATATATGAATTTTCATATATTATGTAATCAATTACACCACAAATTATGTAATCACTGTTGACATATTAATCATATTCATAATTCGGTTTCATTCTGTTGTGAATTTTTTTAAACAGATAAGGTAGTTTATTAATAATTTTATGGATTTCTTGATCAATTATTACATTCTTAAGTTACGAGGGCATCATAATTATATTTATAATTACAACTGTTTTCTATAATTAAAGTCACATAAGTGGCAAAGTGCAATATACCTAAGTGTTTTGTTGTTTATCAAAATTGAGAGTGAAGGCGGTTTCTCAAAATTCTGCGATAATACAATATTTGTGAGTTGGGTTCACGACAGTACACGGAAATGTTAAAGAATGAGAAGTTCTACAGATTAGTTATTTTATCAAAATGAATTTGCATTGGCAATTGTACATAAAAACATTTATTTTACATCTTTTTTCTTGTTCAGGACTGAGAGTGTGGAGTGTTACCATGGTAACTGTAATAGTTTGGGATGTCAGTGTGAGCCCTGCTACACAGGGGACAGATGCAACATATACAGTAAGTCAGTTACCACTAAAAGAAAATAGGTTTTATACCCGATGATCAAATTAGCATTGTTCTTTATTTCGTATGTTAATACATGTATATGTAGATATTTCTAAGCTTAATTCTACCCCAGTACTTAAATTTTTTTAACTATTCAAAAGATCCATTGTACTCAAAGATGAAAATTACCCTTCATTCAATTGAGAACTCGTGATTACGTTCTGAATGATTATATTAAGATAACAAGTTGTTCATTACGTCATATGTTCATTATAACATGTAATTCAAAAAATTTTCTTTGTCTGATTTTTTATCACATCATTCCACAAATATTTAGCCAACCTGTATGCTCCTGAATATGTTCACCGAACGTTTGTGGCTAAAGTGGAGACATTTTCCCGCGGAGTCCTGCGTGGTGTGGCAGCCATCGACCAAGACTCCAGTAGCTGTGCCGAGGCGGGCTACACACAGTGCTACTGTTCTAGAGTCATTCACAGACTAATGAACGTCTCCTCAAACATCGGGGAATTCAAAATTAACCACGACACGGGAGATCTCTCCTACGACGTAATGACAGAAGATGTCATCGTATTAAATATTGCAGCATATAATTATGATGAATTTGGATATCCTGACATTCAAGATAAGCATATTGGACATGCAAAAGTGAAAATTTACGTCACAGATAAAGCAATTAAAGATTTAGAAACACATTTATTTATAATGGAAAATGTTCCTAACATCTACAACTGGCGAGTAGAAGATTTTGAAGAAGAGACAGGAATGGTGAAAAACTCGCATCATAGATACAAAAGACAAGCGGTATGCTGCAAACAATATTACATTTACACGTAAAATCAATAAATTAATGAATTATAACTTTTTGTAAACTTAATTTTTATAGCTTTTGTGAACTTTTATCCCCATACAGTTCTAAATTATTTCTTGCAGTCTTCTATTCCTGGAAATGTGACGGCAGATATGACGTTGACCTCTGGAGAAATTGTCAACGTGACGCCAGACGTTTATTTCTACAACTTCTTACCTATATCTCTAACAATTTCTTTTCCCGAGGGTAGCAGTTTTTTGTCTGCAAAAATTAACAGTGATAAAACTGGCACAAACAGTCCAATGTTTTTCTTCTGTGACCCGGATGTAACATTTGTTGGAAGTAATTTCTTTGGTTGGAATCCCGATCAGTACAGCACCATACTGACGTCATCAGATGATCCACAGGCACGTTCCATTCCTTTAAAAAGAAATTTTATCTTTCTCTTGAAGAAAATGTGTTCAAATTTATACTTACAATAAAGGCATGAGTCAAACATATCATAATTCAAATTAAGCTCCAAGTATTTACCTTTAATCCTAGGTCAAAGATATGCTTGAAGTTGACCTCGGTATTGTTACCAACGACGGCAGTGACACAACAATACCTGAAGCTAATGACATCATCATCGAATATTTTGCTTACGTGATGGATCCAGCTGACACCCTGTTCGATCAACCAATCAAAATTTTTGCAGATATAGTTTGGAATAACTCAACATGGATGACACTTGAAAAGGAATTCATAATCAGAAATTTTGCTGTAAGTAAAAGAAATCGTAACATAAGTAAATTTATTTTCATAAAAAGGAGTTAGTAACAATGTCTTTGTTATGTTTAGAATGCACCCAGTGATCCTTTGATAACAGTAGACGGACCTTCGAGTCTGAATCCTGGCGTCGTGGGGACCTGGACCGTAAAAACCTTTGTTCTTCATCCACATGCAGACTTGTCTGTAGAAATCTTTGGTACCATGCCTTCTTCTGTTGACCTATGTTCAGCCTCGTATGTAGGACAGGGTAATGTATCATAGTATTATGTTCACTGTTCTTCTGGTGGATGTTAATAGTTTTAAGAAACAATCTTAATTTAACATATTTAATGCAAACGCAATCGTTCGTAATTTATTGCACACTGTAAAGCTTCTTGTTGCAATGCAGTTGATACATCATTTCATCCACTACATTTCATCTCAAAAGAGAACTGTAACCTACGTCATATTCACCATACATATGTTCCAGTAAAGTCATTCAGCAATATATCAGTATGTAGGAAGATGGTTTTGCTAAAAATATTATTTTAATGTTCATAGCAACGGTTTTAAACGCTGGGGGACAATCCTCCCAAAATTGAATACTAGATACATAGTCGTCAGTACTGGTGAAAAGAATTGAACTGTATTAAACATGTTGAATTCGTTTGATTTCAATATCTAGGTGATGCTTACAAGTGTAACAACATATCACAGATATCAAAAACACCCAGTGGTAGTGGCAGTGGTGGATACTTATTCTCCTTAGGAAAGATTTTTAACACAGGTAATGTGCACACTTTAGCTACGATTGTGCTCTCCCGTCTTTGTTACAACTCTTGATTTTTACCTCCCTGTCTACGTATTTCTTTCCACTTTCTTTCATGCAGACTATAATGTCTCTGCTGATGCTGAAAAATACTTCACCTTCCTTGTTTACGGAGAAATAGCTACATCAGCAGTGATTGGCCAAAATTACAGCTTCACAGTAAATGTTGATGTCAGCGGCATTACTTACACATACCAGTACAGTGTTACAGCCTCGGGTGCTGCTATTCCACAAGCTGTACGTATGGTTGTAAAGAGAACTGTTTACTGAAATAAATGTAAATTAAGTTTCAGGAGTTGGGAAGTTTTGGAAAAAATACAAATATTACAAAACTTAATATTGTATTTCTTAATTAAGTTTAACACATGAGTCTCAGTGGATCTTTTATTTTATTTTGTCATATATATAAGTTATTAGTAATAAAGAATACAATCGGAACATATTCTTCACAACTTTATATACAGTATGTCTCCATATTTTATACAGCCAGGAACACCGATATTGTCCCTTTTGCCTCGATCATCCACAATTTATCAAGGTGGTAAGGAGACAATTGATGTTGAGTTGACAACTATCGTGAATCAGACGGAAGCATATTTAATCACAATCATGAATCCCACTCCAACCAATGAGCTGGTTCACATTTGCGATGTTTCACTTGGTAGTGTTGGTAATAATATCATGTGTGGTGTCAACACATTTAACCCCACCTACGTAAGCACAGTAAGTGAATCTGCGAAGCGATTAACTATTTTGTTGGAAAAAGTTCAGTCAATTTAATTGTGCCGTAAAGTAAATATTTTACTTAGTTTTGAAAAGAAATGGATTATGTCTTCTTGCATAGGAAAACAACAACTTAAACGATAAAGTCAGCATTAATCTTGGAATTATAACCAATGTGGCTTTGGATGCTGGAGCAGTAAACAGCACCGTCAGTGTATCTGTCACGATCTGTTACGTCAGCACCGGTAATTTAAATCCTGGTGACATCATCACCATTAACGGTGAACTGCAGCACGGATCTGTTATTGACTCGCCTCAGAGTACTGCAGTGACAGTTATAGCAGGGACACCAACCATATCGGTATAAAATACACAATGAACTACACTAACTTCACCAAAATCTTTTTAAAAAAAATCATTCTATGGTTAAACAAGAATTGTAATCTCCTACAATCATTTAACATGCATTGTACATGAGCTATTTTTCTAGAGAATTATATTTGAAATATCATATCTGTTGTCAGGCACCCGCTATAACACTGACGTATGGAAATGGATATTCCAACATTCTACCAAGAGGACGTGCTGTGTATGATTTGTCTCTCATTCTTTCACCGAGTACATACTACGAGAATATCAACGTATCTTTCAATACAGGAAATGACATCATTGCTAAGACTTCTATCTGTTCTATATCGGTTATTGTAACTGGTAATGTGACTTGCAGAAAAGTTTCCCCGGCTGAATACATAAATAATGCTGCTCGTGTTGACATGCATGACAGTGGATATGTATATCTGGGATCATTGGAAAACTCCGGTAACCATGATGTAACAATTACAGCTCTTGCAGTCATTTCTTTGTTGGACACAACAGTTGTAGATGGAGATCCAATTATAACCAATGCATCTGTTACTTATAACACTGATGGATTGTGGGAAGGCTACATCTCTTCTACAGTTAACTCCGTCAACTCATATCCAAGCTCAGTAAGTGAATGAGAAAATAACGTCATATCAGTGTTTAATACTTGTTTATAATTTTTGTTGAATATTTAATACTTTGATGGAATATTTGCAGACAATTCATTATTCCCTTACTTCACCCCAACCCATAGCTGTCTCCAATAGAGGTGCCGCCGAGTTTGAACTTTCTGCAGAACTGCCGATCGGAGTCATTACCCATCTGCAGATTGTTGTTACAGCTGTTCATACTGAATTGTCCATCTGTTCGATCTATATTAAATTCTCCGGGTTAAATATACCATGTGCTTCACATGGTGTCACAGTGACTAATACAAAATATTCCTCTGGTGGTGGTAACTCGGCTGTGACTTTTAATGTGCCTTCAGTAACTAATTCTGGTAAGTTGTTTTCAACTTGTCTAGATCTCTTCCAAAGAATATAATTATACTTTACTTTGGCTCTAAAATATTTGTTTTGTGATAGGTGAATCCCCATCAGCTTCAGACAGCACTATCAAGTTCGGAATCGTTGCTTTGGTACGTGAAGGGTATGACTTTCCTAACCTGGGAAGTTCATATTTTGATTTAAACATCGAACACATCGATGAATGGACCACAGGGACAAAGGCAGCAAGCATATATGTGAATGCTAGTAACGTTTACAGTGTAAGTCTTCTATAAGTATTTTAGAAAATGATAATACTTCTAAATCTTTTTTTTTTTAAATCATAAGATACAAAATATAAATATCATGAAAAGAGCCAACGATTATTGTGAAAATTGAAATTTGACAAAATATAAGCTTCAATAACAAGGAAAGGACCATAGTAGAGCAAAAATAAGACAAAGTAATGGATGAGAAAATCTTTAAACTTTTGAAAAACGTGTTTAACAGAAGGAGTTTAAGAAACTTCAAGCAACTTCATTTGCAAACCTCGGGGTTTTAAATAAATCCCGTTGGTTAAATCAATGTTCGCAAGGTAGAAAAGAAGAAATAAAGAGCATTACAATACTAATATGGTCAAATTAATATGGAAATCCTCTCTGCTTTGTAAATTTAAGAGTTGATCATTTTATTGTTAGTGCTTTGTATTTAATTGTTTTTCTTTTGTTGGAGGGCGGGTGGGGTATGGTGAAAAAGAAATAATAAATGCATGAAATATGGAGATAATGGGTAGTAATCAAGCTCCTAATTCCTTTGAAACAATGCAAATCGAGCAAACATAGACCCCTAAAATCATCAGAGATGGGATCAGCTGCCACAGAGGAAACAGAAATAATCCCTCTATCTAGTGCATATTTCGACATGTCCCTGATAAACTAATATACACATTTTTCAGACTGCAACACCTATTCTTCAAATAGACTATCCTTCCGGAGGTAACGCAATAAAAGGATCAACCGTAGCCGTCAATGTCAAAGTATACACTTCTCCGAATTCAAACACAGACTATAAAATGGATTTCACTCCGACAACTATTGGTAAAATGCATGTTTGTGACGTGAAAATATTTTCAAGGAGAAAGCATGTTTGCATCGATAACGTAGCGAGTAAAACATTTGTAACAAGTTCAGATAATTCTACCTATGAATCGGCATCAATTGATATCGGCAACGTCATCAACTGGGGACCTGATGGATCTACACAGCAGCAGGATCCTAATATGGTAAGCACATTCTTCATTATCAATTCATGCAAAGATTTTCAATGAATATGCTTTTAGGCATAGAAACACCATTACGTTTTCACGATTTAAGACAATAATTATTGCTTAGTTCATGTTCTTTTTCAAAGTTTATCGTTCAAGTAACATTAGCCATTGAAAATGATGCCAGTATAAGTGTGGGGGAGTCCTTGTCCTGTAGTATAGTCTTAAGTCACAGCGTGTCCCAGACTGTGTCCGACTCGGCCACTTTGACAGTCGTTCCCACACCAGATAGTGTAAGTTTTCAGTGATTCTTATTAAAAAAGAATATTCATTCATTGATAATATAAAACTGTTTTTTTTTAAAATATATAAGATAATGAAAAGTACTTCGTTACTTTATAGGTCAACACAAATATCGGTGTCACCAGTAACCCTCCGTCTGCTGGGGTGGTGTATGCGTCTATCAGCGAGTTTGTCAAGTGGGGTGTTAAACTCGAACTACCAAGAACCACTGACCGATACACCATGACGCTCATAATGCCCACTTCTGCAGGAGAGGCCCATCTAACTGTAGTGAATGCCAGTCATGTAGCTTCCGAAATAGGCATTGGATGTTCCCAAAATACTACAGTAGGAACAACATTAACTTCAGATTTGTCAACAACACAGATGACCCAAATGACGGTTGATCTTGGGGTTCTCTCTAACACTGGTATTTTATCAATGATTTGATTCACTCTTTTGTCTCTGGTCTTTAGATGTTGCATCTCTTTTTAATTTATTTTTTTCTTTTAGATGATTTAGTGCGTGTGGTAGAATTTGCCTTCACCTTTCAAGTAACGGATCACAGTGGGAATACGGATGGATCTGTTCAGACTTTCAATATCACAGTGCAAGGTGATAACGGAGGATTTGCCACAACTACAGGAAGTGTGACAATACAAGTGGATGGTACTGAGACTGCACAGCTAGAATTCGACACCTGGACAGACCCTCTGCCTCACACACACAGATTCTCAGGGTACTACAGCACTTAGACTTTTGGAGGATGTTTCTTTCAAGCTGAATTTTTTTTTTCAGTTTTATAGAAAATGTAAAATTACTTCATTGTTTTAGGCATGAACTCAAATTGTATGGAACGCTAAATCTGGTGAACACATCGAAAGCGCATGCTTCTTCTGTTGTCGTGCACTTCCTTTTGCCACCATACACATCGTTAGTTGCTCTCAATGAGTGGACAGTGCTCCAACCTAGCGTGGCAGTTACAGCAACTGGTGGCGTTGATTTGACGGTATTTGATGCCTTAATTTTAGGAGTGGTGATAAATTCCATATTTCATCAAAATGAACATTATAATTTTGATGTGAACTTAATCTTTAATGTAAAAGCTTTTGGAAAACAGTTATTATAAAAATTTTGAGGTTGTTTGTGCAAGAAAAGGATATTTGAAACCATGGTTGATAAAACTCAACATTAGTAAATATCTTTTAGTACGTGCCATGTATTCTGTACTACTAGTGCATGTAAACCGATCAGTGTTTACTTTTGAATGTACCACTGACAACTGCACTCGATTATTAGCAACCAAATTGATCAATTGTCTTAGATAGGTTTTATTACGTCACAATATCCTAAGCTTTGGAGTGGTCAATGTGGCTAATTTTAGATTAAATGGATAGAAGCCCTTCAGCACTGCTGATAAATGAAATCATTCTCATAAGTTTTATATTTAAGTGTGGATTTTAATATGAAATTTCAATGTTATTTCAGTATCCCTTGATTAAATTTACGGACTTCCCTACCTTTTCACTGAACTTAACAATAGATCCAAACACGGAATTTGAATCTGGACGCATGAACATCCACACAGTCATTCCGGCAGAAGTATCTTACTTGTCATTACAAAGACCAGATCGAGCCGATATCGCCGAGCACAACACACTGTTGGATATAGTGGAGTTTGGATTTAATTCAGAAGGCAAATATATCTAATCTTGAATATACTAATATATTAGTACATGGCAACCATACATAGGAATAACATGTATCATTTAACTTTCAGTTTGTAATAAGATCATTGGGACGGATACGACTGCCATCTCCGATTCTCAGATATCTGCGTCATCTGAAGAAAACTTGGCTTTCAATCTCAAGAAGTCTTCAGGCACGGGGTGGAGGCCAAAAAAGCGAGGCAAACCTTTTTGTCAAAATGAATTTGTAACGGTATGTGCCGACTTCAACAACATTTCTAGCTATAGACCATAGTGTTTTTTTTATTTCAATGTTCAATCATTCCAAGTTCTTGGCTATTTTCTTTTTTATTATTGTATCTTTTTTTTGTCAGGTACATTTTATAGATAAAGTGAAAATTATTGCCTTTTCGGTCCTATCAGCCGGAAATGATAATGATGACTACGTCACTAATATGACAGTCCAGTATAGTGATGACGGAATTTTTTGGACCTATGTAACCGATAACAGTACTGAAATAAAGGTAATAACCTAGTAAAGAAATAGTAAATCATTTACCGAATCTGCATGAGCAATTCAGTATTAAATGATGCACATTAGACAGCAGTAACAGTAACTCTAATCTCTTACTTTTTTCAGTCTTTTATCGTTGCTTTTGATGACAGCACTAAAACTGTTAATGACGCCTATCGATTTTCATTGGATGATTCGGAGATATTTACAGCAGCTTACGTCAGAATCATCCCTACATCCGGGAAACTTAGATCATGTGACCCCGTCATTCGAGTTGAATTTGAAGGATGCAAGACGAGTACCAACAATGTCAGCAGTAAGGATGCAGAATAGTCTAATATCACTACATTTCACTACGCTATATTTCTTTCTACATTGGTTAAAAAAATAAAATAAAAGTTTATATATTTGTGACGTCATTCTTTTGTTTCTACAGTCTCATATTTCAAAGAGTGTAATAGCTATAATCCAATATTATTGTCAGGAGTACAATATTATATCTAATATTGTACTCCAAAATAATACTGGACTGTGTGAAACAAAGGATGACGTCACCTAGATTTTGCACAGCGAATGAATAAGGCAGAAAATAAACAAACATTATGCATTTTATATAGAAATCAACATCTCTTAATCCAATTTATGTAACGAAACTTCAAAACAGGAGTATCTCAGATATCCCTTAGAATTTACACTTCGTCCAGACAGGTCACTGATTGTGAAACGACCGATATTGAAGCACTTATTTTAAATTTCTGATTTTTCAAAAAAAACACATCCAAATAAATCCACGTAAAGTGGTCCTTTGTAGAACGTTAGCATTCAGGATAAGAAAAAGCGAAATGCGGACAAGTTTACATTCGATCTGTTAATATATCCCATACAACTCTGATTTTTCCCCGGAAAATTTAATTTCAAAATATATTTCCAAATTAATTTACGTAAAGATGTGGTGCTTTCGATATCCAAGGGACAAAAACTTTCCTGGAATTATATTTGCCTACAGGTCATTTACAATCTTCGTGCGTTAAAAAAGGATCCTTCACAATACTCTCGAGAATCGCTTGTTATCATGAAGTTGCTCAGCTCTTCTTAATGCGTCCGTAGAGTGTCACAACGATAAATAATATATGATTGGGGTTCAGTAAAGGTTTTTAATTTAAAATCTATTCATCCCTTTGAAAGAAATATCTTAAACCCTTAAGCGCCTCATCCATCTGGTTTGGTCACCGTCACAAGTATCATATTATGACAATAGCCAATAAAAAGGTGCATTGAAAAAATGTTTTAAGTAAGATACAACACTCAGATGGTCTATCATGTCAGATACGGGACTGAGACTTGGTGCTTCGCACCTCGTCCCAGTCCCGTATCTGACATATTAGACCATCTTCGTCTTGTATCCCTTACATATTGTCAAATTACTCTTCACGGAGTTATAAATTGATTGCTAAATGTTTGTATTCCGTATCTGACATATTAGACCATCTTCGTCTTGTATCCCTTACATATTGTCAAATTACTCTTCACGGAGTTATAAATTGATTGCTAAATGTTTGTATTCTGTAAACGCATTACAAGATAAACACAATAATCATTTTAAAATGAGATATAAGCCAAGTGTCATTATACGTTTTACCTAATTGAAACTGCACGCTTTACTCGAAAAACCAAATTCTTCTAATATCCCTAACGAGCACAAGTTCACAATTCGACAACCCCTTGATATTGATCGTCTAATCTTATTTTAGGCATTTAATTAACTAATTAAAAAGATACACAGTATTTGGTGTTGTTTATTGCCATTTTCGCGTATAGATCAATAAAAATTAATTTCACCAGAACATTTTTTTCAATGAGAATGTTGTCAGTCATTCTATTTATAATACATCTACAACTTTTATAGGTACAGCTATGAGTAGTCCCAATTTCCCTTTGTCGGAGAGGTTTTTGCTCACAGACACAATAGCAGGAACGATGTTTGCTTGTATCAAGAGTGGAATAGAGTAAGTGTATAAATTAAATATTTATAGACGTATTTTACGTTAAATCAATGCAAGATATATTATTCTAAGATTTTTTTTTATTTTTAGAGGAGACAACACGTGCTCACGGTCTGTTGACAACGGAACATCGTGGGAAGGTAAAAATAATCCAAGTACATGTATACGTTGAAATTCTTATTTTCAGGGTGGGGATTAATATAAAATTTTCACAGTGATAAAATTTTCACATGAGAAAATTAACTTCCAATGATATTTTATATTTACCTGCACAAAGAGTTAATATACATGTAATACATGATCCAAAGAGCCAAAGCAATAAGTACCCTCGAAATCAGTGTATACATAAAATGCTAAACAATGTACACTATATAGTCAGAGTTTTAACTTACAATTAAGACTCATTTTATGATTAATATATGGTTGTTGTGACGACAAGTCTAATAGTCCTCTGTAGATATATGTAGTATATCTCCAAATTACTTGATGTATTATTTGTCCTTGATGTCAGATATACATATGTATAAGTAAAGGCCAATGAACATGTTGTATTAATTTTTGCAATTATTTTTAAACTAATCATTGTCACTATAATTAATAACAAATATAACTGCATATACGCTGTAGGTCACTTATTTTTGCGACACCTTATTTTCGCTAAACATTCATCCATTCTTTCTTAGGGAGACAAAATTTTCATCAATGGAGCTACTATATAAACTTAGGGGAAATTTATATACAAATAACATGTACACTAGAATTAAATTTTTGCGAGTAAACCGGCTCGAGTTATTTCGTGAAAATAAAGTTCTTGCGAATAAAAGCGATTTACAGCAGTCATGCCTAATATCAAAGTACATCATTGATTTAAAACACTAGTAGAAGTAACTTTGACAACGTAATTATTTAACTGATTGATTACAAGAAGAGATCATGTCACCATTACATAAAACAATTGCTAAGAAGTGGTACTTGGAAATATATCAGTTGAAATGAATGCAATCTGACGAGGTCTGACTTAGCACAGCTTCTCCAGAATTATAGGAATCTTCCTGTTTGATTTCAACATGGACACCTAAATGCGACTGAAAATCCAACGTCACTTTTTAAATTTACACTGTGACCACATTTTCCAGCAATTCAAGATCAAAGCTAAACTGCATTATGTAAATTGTTCACAAAACCAACGGAATACTAGTATACTGGTGACCTAGTCGTTTACTTTTTGGTGTCACAAAACAAATTTAATGGTCTACTCGGGTATATATTCGTATGATCATAATTATTTTTAAATCACTTACACATGTGTCTTTTCAGAGATGAACGACATTGGACAAGTATTGGGTGTAAAGAATAGAACCACATTGGTGGGAATCTCTCAGGACGGAATGGCAAATCTTTGTAGTGACGACAAGGGAGTCACGTGGGTAAGCTGTCAGGGAGTGGACGTCACAGAAATTACGTCGGATTCGACTTATACCCCTGGAATACCACAGCCGTTTGATGATTTCAGTGCTGTAACAGATGACACAATGTATTTTACCTATGGCTTCAGCCACCAAGACTTTGATGTTACAGGTACCCTTATCTTTTTATTTTCCCAACTCGATTTTAAAAGATAGCATTATGTAAGAAATATTGTTTCTTTCCCATAAAATCAAAAACATTACTATCTAATGTAGATAAATACAAAGGTTTTCAATGCTTGCATCATGGAGATTTGCCTTGACGTTGATCATTATCATTTACAGGTACAATGAGTGGGGTCAAGGTCAGACATTTGGGAGGTTCCTGGTCTTCAGTGGCCTGGTGGGGATCCTCAGATTGGTCGTTAATTTAATACATGGATTTCATATTACCTTAATTCGAGATTGGAAGCAGTGGAAGTCTAATGCAAACACTACTCCGTTGTTGACTTGTTCTTTGTTTCCAATCCATGTCCATCCACACATCGTCCTGCGATCTGTCTAGCATCTTTCAAGTTTTTCAAGCCTGCAGTTTGTAAAGTTTACTATCTGTGCAATTTTATATCATTTTGTATCATTTAATTTTCCTTATTCATAGTTGGTCCTATAGTCTGCCTCAAAATAGCTTTTCCACATCATTTGGGATTTTTGTTGAAATAGGTGTTAAAAAGATTAAAACTGTTTTATTTAATCATGATTGAAATTGCTCCTTACTTCCATGTTAGAAAACGTCTGTTTTTATTTTGATTTCAGGCAGCAAATGAAAAATATGAAGAATATATGAACTGAATTTGAAATTCATTTGAAATTTAGAACGTAAAAATGTACTTCTTAAAAAGAGTTCTGTGTTTTTGGTTTAATATAAATCTAGCATAACATATTGAAAAGCTGTATACTTTGTATCAGCAAAAAATTTTATTGTGTAAAACGGTAACTCTAGAAAATGGAATATAAAACTAAGTTTTTGGAAATAATTTTTTTTTGGAAAGTATTTTTAACAATTCTTGGGCCATGATCACATGATAACATCAAGAATCATTTCTAAATGTCTTTGATTCTGAACTTCGAGAAAAAATTCTTGTGAGGACTCCTTCCTTTTGGAGACAAACCCTCCCTTTCCCCTTATCAAAGCAAAATATTGCTTTACATTTATATATGTTATAGATTTTGAAAAGAACACTTTCTTATCCCCTTTTAAAACTGGATGTGTATAAGAACTCTGTATATCATTGATCAATAGATAAAAAGTTCCAAAGCATGTAGACAACTACATGTACTAGTATTTACAATAAACACTACAAAATATAAAAATGTTGCACACAAAATAACCATATATGTACAAAGAAATACATTGAATTTATCATGTTTCACTGGTTTTCCCATGCTTGGGTCACTTTCTTGGACGTGTACATGTCTTAAAATATTTAATTATATATGTAAATTATCAGAAAAGTGCGGAAAAGTACCAAACCATTCTAAAATGAGTCATATATAGCGAGCTCTTACTTTATAAAGAAATTTATTCTGTACATTAACATTAGTTTAATTTCTGATGAAGAATTGCTGTCCATGTTGTTTTTTAAAATAAAGTTTAGTCATCTCCATATCTGTATATACATGCACCATGTAAACATACAAAATACTCTTATAGAACAAATTTGAAATTCTTAATCAGATGATCACAAGAAATAAGGAAAAAAACTTTATTAGATACATCGAAACATATAAATTGTAAAATCTTAAAAACCGTAATGTTCTTTTGAACACCCCTTACCAAAAAGGATCACTACACTTTATTAATTTCAATTGTGTTGCAAACACATGTATTCCCACATGAATTAATTGTATTTAGACCAGTGTTTAATGAATCAGAATGATTTGTGTTATCAGGGTTATATGCAATTAGAACATAACGGACTGGAATAATTAAAGAATCCTGTGTATAAAAGATTTTGTTTATTTGTAAGAACAAGACAAATTTTTTGAGCGATTGTGCTATCTTTCAGCTTTGATTAAAAGTGTACTTTGATTTTTCAAGGATCGACAACTATGTCAAATACATGTGCCAATTTTAGTAAATCTATTTTAGCAAATATTGATTGTTTACTTGTGTTATTGTATTCTTCTCTGCACTCTCTCATGCCAGTGAAATAATTGTCAATTTTCTGCATCTTTGAGGTAATTTTTTTAATCTCAGATGTATAATTCTTTCTCTCTTGAAAATCATTTTGATAAATTCCTCTACTATTTGCGTATGATATGAGAATAAGACACTTTACAACAATAATTAAAGAGATACCGTGACAAAAAAAACGGGAATATTGACAAAAGTAGAATTCTGTTCAGTTCTTGAAGATATTAGATTTCAGAAAATTACAGATTTTAGAACCTAAAAATTCTACTTTTTTGTAGAATAATGAAAGTTGAAACATTTTTGTTCGCACCAACACAAAAATATTGCTTCACTTCTTCCTCTTTATTGTACACATGAGCAGAGAAGTTGAAGATTTACCAGTATGTCAATATAGATACAAATACCGGATAACCGAAGATTTAGTTGATATACTCTCTTCGAAAAATATGATCAGAACTTATTCCTCACTTCGTCTTACTCAAATTCAAAGTCAATTCAAAGTTGTTTATGTTTCATGCTAAAAATAAAGTACGCGTGACTTTGACATTGTTAATATTGACGACAACAACTACGCGACACATAAAACTCTTAGCATGTGGTTTGACTCATTATGTTACAATTAATTTATTACAAATCAGTTCACTAAACTGTATTTGAAAGTGGAGAAGAATTTAAGTTTGTCAAATTTTTGTTTGGTAAGCTTGAAGGTAAAGAATGATTGCCTTTTCATGTGATGTATGCCAATATTTTAAAGAAAGATATGGATAACTTTTACACAACATGAATCATTATAAAACAATGTGAAGGTCAAATGTAGAAGCCCTTGAGATTCTTGGTCAGAATAAACTATATGTTTTTGATAATATATCTAAGAGTCCTGTTAGAACATTTACAGACCAAATGCTAACTATTGATTTTTCCGTTTTCTTTAAACAAAAAGTAGGTTGAAGACCGAGACTTTACACAATGTATTTGTTTTGGTTCCATCTGCCAAGGCTTGTTTGTAAAGCTCAACATTACAGCTGTATTTTAAAAGAACTTTTGTAAGAATTTTTTCTTCCATCTGGAAATCTAATTATATATTATTCACAGTTCACTTTCTATAGTTAAACTTCTTCAAAATCGCATTTCAGTTTATAAATACTTTCCGCATTTCAGTTAACGAAAGTGAACTTGAAATACTTACATTTTCCAATTACTCTGAAATAAAACTTACAAATTAGATACTGGCTTTATAACCCATAAATTGATTTGCTCAGCAGTGAAAGATCTGCATGCTTTTTCGCTCTGTATTGCCTAATAAATTTACACCTGGTGGGGATGCTTTTTTCTTACTTTTGATTTTTTCTTAAAAATTGAAATAAGGATCAGGTAAAAATATAAATATAAGAAATAACCGTCTTTTTTGTTTGTTTGTTTGTTTTTTGATGATGATCAATCAAATTCCTCACGTGATATTACGCATAAATGCCTTCGGCGTTTGTGCAAATTATCATGCGAGCAAATTGATTGATCACATCATAAAACCAAAAACAACAACAACAACAACAACAAAACTAGACAGTTATTCCTTAATAAGTCTACCTATACTGGATTTCGAAACTTCATAAAAATCCTTAACTAGGATTTATTGATTAAATGCCCTACAAAGCCTCTATCTACGCTCCTTTAAAAAAACATCAACTGCTGTGAAGCAGAAACTCCGTACGCACAGTGCTACAGCATATTTTCCAAAAATGGTAACAATCAAAGAAATGTTAAAAATTTAAAATCGAAACTTTTTCCATACGATTGAAGCACCCATTCTTTACAATAAATTAAAGGATTAGAATTTTGATGTCAAAGACAACCTTGACTTAGAGGTCAACTTACCTATATCTGTATCATAAAATATCTGTTATGACCCATCCTCACAGTTTTCACTTCTGTCAAATTCTTTTACTCCTGTCTCTCTAAGTTAAGCATTGGATTAAAAATTAACAGTTCACACAATCATGAACTGTAAAGTTTTCTAACTTTATCGGTGATAGTGCTAACACCAAATATTGAAATCCTCTGAAATCAAAGAACAGTCTTTTATTTTATCAATGAAAGTTTTCTTTAACCTACTACTAATCACTTTTTATTGGCAAGAATCTTATTTTGCGTAATACGCGAGACAATGTGCTCGCGAAATTTTAATTCTCGCGTATTTTACTTAGGATTATAAAAAGCTTGTACGACAATTCGTGAACATTTTTTCTCGCTATTAAAGAGACAATGACAATCTAACAAAAGTAATGTGTCCCAAAAATTTAGTGATCTACAGCATTGCATATTCTACAAATTCAATCGCTAGAAAGGGATTTCTTCTATTCAAGTGAAGAACTACATGTTCCAGGTAAAAGTCTATTGTATTGCTGATGCTGTAACTTGTGTAGTGTATAGCATCCCTTTTATCTCATTTAACAAAAAAAAAAATTATAATTAAGTACAGCTTTCTGAGGTAAAGGATTTTAAACCTGCAACTACAAGCCTTGATGAAATTGTTCAAATCTATTTACATGTATTAAAAATTTCTATCTGCTATTGCGTTATTTTTGAAAGTTGTGTATTAATAGTGCTCAAGTTTTCTTCCCCTAACATTAAAGTTGTTGGTTTTATACTAATTCTCAGGCACCATCACTCAAGAACAGGCTTTTATTCTGAATTAGACTTTACTCAGTCAATTAAAGAGCAGTAAATACCCTTTGATTACTTGTCATTAACAGTGAACAGTCATTTTTTGAAACTGGCTTTTTTAATACTGCAACACTCCTCTCTAACATCTTAATGACCATTAACTTACCATGCAGGTCCAGTGAAGTAATTTTTTGTAACCCAGAAATATATTCAGTTTGCCGGTTTTACATATACCATAACATGTGCACATATTTATTCTTTAAAAACTTCTAATATTCAAAAACCTACAGTTACTTCTCTGATCGAAGGTTTACAAATGAATATGTTCAGCTTATTTAAGATAAATGATTTTTAAAGAACAATAACATTCTTGAGTTTTTCATAGTATTACTATAATAAATGTTCCAGTTATCTCCCCCTAACCTTCTACTCAATGATTTTATGCAAATTCTCAGTAATCGTCACTTTGGCACAGACTTTATACTATATAAGTATTTGGGCAACCGAAATCAGATGAGATTGCCTTGAGAGTACTGATCAGTATCTCTTTGTTACTGAGTTCCATTCGCTGATCAAAGTGATTCACACACCAGTGGTACATTTGTAAAGATAACTCAAACCTCGAAAGATAATATGATCAATGGAGTCATTGTATCTCAAATTAAAAACGCCTTTTTCTTTACCCATACCACGAATAAACATATTTGCAAACTTAAATCAGTCGTCTGATAGTTACAATGTTTTATGCCTCCGTCAGAAAAATGGTCCTTACACATAGTGAATAGTTTCCGTACGTCTCTGCTGTGCTGATAGATAATTAGCTGATTTTTGGTTTGTCTCTTTATATTGATAACAGTCAGAAAGTTCAGTGGAGATTCATATTTAAGTTCATTGGCCTTGTCATGATTTGCATTTCGCTCTTTGAAAGAGGCTTTTTTTATTTCTAGATTT